ACATACCTGCTGGCTAACCCTGGATCTCTTGTACTTGTTTGGTAGTAGTCTCCAACAGTCTCTTGTGCCATAGCAGTCTCTTGTCATACAGGGGTGGTAAAAGCTGGTGGCTGGTATAGTCCATGTACGCAGAGTCTGTAGTGAGGGGTCAGCATTCTCCTTCTTGTGTGCACACCTGGATCAGATTAGTGGGATTTATTATGCACCAATTGGAAGGAGGACTGCAATCCCGTATCTGACCACCGTCCAATCACCAGCCGGCTTTGCAGGAGCCAGAAACAGGACAGAACTAAACCCTTCAATTCGGGAGAACTTGTAACCATCAGGCAGACCAATCACAGGAGCCAAAAATGGTGGTTTTAAAATTTTATTAAGCAACATCAGCTTGTCACCAAAAAATATTGTTCAATTAATTGTATAAAACCCAAAAGATAAATAATTCACAATCTTTTGTCTCTAGAATATAAATTTCAGACTTTAGAGATGGGGGGAGAGGACACTTGGCTCAGCCACTCCCACAGGCACTGCAGTGAAGGGGGGAGGGGTTAATGTAAACCATGATTAGAAAGGGGGCGTAACTTGTATGGTATAACATTCAGAAACTAGGGATGGGAGGAGGATACTTGGCCTGGCCACTCCCACAGGCACTGCAGTAAAGGGGGAGGGGTTAATGTAAAGAATGGTTAGAAAGGGGCGTAACCTGTATGGTATAACATTCAGAAACTAGAGATAGGGGGATACTTGGCCTGGCCACTGCCACTGCAGTGAAGGGGGAGGTGTTAATGTAAACCATGATTAGAAAGGGGGCGTAACCTGTATGGTATAATTTTCAGAAACTAGAGATGGGAGGAGGATACTTGGCCTGGCCACTCCCACAGGCACTGCAGTGAAGGGGGAGGGGTTTCAAAGTACACCATGACAAAAGGCCGTGTTTCGAGTGGAGCTGAGAAGTGAGTGAATGGTGGGGAGTATGGAAGTACCATGGCAGCTGACATGCTGGGGCTTGTAGTGCCTCAGCTCAGGATACTTTATTTACTGACTTACACATACTATGACTTTCCGACAAACATGGCATCCACCGAGGGCAATGCCAAACCCGCCTGAGGAGCCATGTTGTGAGCCGTGACCTAAAATAGAAAAGGGTTTGTAGTATTCTGATGAACAAGCGCCATGACGGGACTTCAGGTATTTAATGTCTGATGTACCATCTCGGTCTGCAAACTGAATGCGACTATATGGGAGGGGGGCAGGGATATTAGGATAGTTTTTTTTTGGTGGTGGTTTCCCTTAAAATCCACCATATGTGCAGAGTACTGTGTGCTGATGGATGTAGTTAGAGGTTACCCCCTTCCCACCAGTAGGAGGCTCCCCAATCATATCCCCCGGGGTGCTGGGGATGTTATCCCCACATAGATGTGGCACTTTGGCATAAGATCCACCATCACGATGCAAGTATATGCCAACAGCCTGTATTATGGAATTACTATGGAATATTTTTCCCAACATGGAAAGGTGACGCGCAGAAATTCACCACCAGACAGAAAGGCCCCCCACGCCCCGCTGTTTGAACTTCACTCCCTACTGTCCTTATAACTCACAAGCCTATCCATTAGATAGCGCATGCCCCACAATACAAGGTCCACCCGTGATCTATTCCACCACTTTCACCCTAAAATCAACGTTATTGTTCCAGCACACCAGAGAAACCTCCACACCACCACCTCTTACGGAACCATTTCAACCACTTACAGGAGCTTGTTTTTTATGATTAGGTCTATGTAGAGGGTCTCAAAGAGGAGCTGGTGTGAAGTTTTGTCTGATGTGCCGGAATAAAGTTAATTTTAGCTTTCCTGGTGTGTGACTTCATTCATACAATGATGTGGGTGGGAGGAAACTGGTCAGTGGGAAGAATGCCACGTACATTGGGGGTCAGTGGGAAGAACGCCCCCTTCCCTTGGGGGTCAGCGGGAAGAACGCCCCCTTCCCTTGGGGGTCAGCGGGAAGAACGCCCCCTTCCCTTGGGGGTCAGCGGGAAGAACGTCCCCTTCCCTTGGGGGTCAGCGGGAAGAACGCCCCTTCCCTTGGGGGTCAGCGGGAAGAACGCCCCTTCCCTTGGGGGTCAGCGGGAAGAACTCCCCTTCCCTTGGTGGTCAGCGGGAAGAACTCCCCTTCCCCTTGGTGGTCAGCGGAAGAACTCCCCTTCCCTTGGTGGTCAGCGGGAAGAACTCCCCTTCCCTTGGTGGTCAGCGGGAAGAACTCAGCGGGAAGAAACTCCCCTTCCCTTGGTGGTCAGCGGGAAGAACTTCCCTACTTCCCTTGGTGGTCAGCCCAGCCTACTCTAGGCCCAAGGGAACTTTTATTATTTTTTTCCCCATCTCTGGTATGCTCTGACTCTTTTCACCAACTCTAACCAAAGGCAAAAAAAAAAAAAAAAAAAATCTTGATTTTTTGCCTAAAAGCACCTGAAAAAGATGTCAATATTTTCACAATGATTGAGGCCAGGTCCACCTGGTGGGAGGAGGGATCACTGAGGTTCCTGACATCACATCCTTAGAATCCTCTATGAACCTAAGTAAACAAGTCATCATTCATCTGTTGTTAGAAGGGGATTAAAGGAGAACTACCCTGCCTACAGCCTGCATTATGGAGTTACTATGGAATATATTTTTTCCAACAGAGAGGTAACATGCAGAATTCTCCACCAAACAGAAAAGGCCCCACTGTAAAGATCACCACAAAACTACCTGCAGACTCTTTAGCCCAGAGATACAATTAAATCTGACCACTGACCCATCTTGGGAAGTATCTCCATGGGTACAGACATGTGGTGAAGGTGTGCTGTGTTGAGATTGGAAAGGGTTCACTGGCATCCCCATTGCTAGACTCTCGCAGGGCAAAACATAATAAATTCCGTCCCCGTCTTACAAACCTCCCGACGGTTCAACCACAAACAGCGGGGGTTTGAATAAACTACAGATCCAATGGTGTTGATTCGCTAAAACCGGAGAGTGCCAAATCTGGTGCAGCTGGGTAGAGAAACCAATCAGCTTCAATGTTTTATTGTCCAAGCTTCATTGAACAAGCTGTAGTTAGATGCCGATTGGCTCCAATGCACAGCAGCACCAGATTTTGCACTCTCCAGTTTTAGTAAATTGACCCCCATTGTCTTTACAGTCCAGTCACACCAATCCTACTTTGAAAATCGTGTGACTTCCAGCACGATTTCAAAGTCAGATGGTATTCCGACTTGCTATGGGTCACTTGTATCAACTTGCTCCTGTCCATTGACACAGAGCACTGCTCAGCCCTCTGCTCCCTCCTCACTGGCTGTGATTGACAGCAGCAAGAGCCAATGGCTTCTGCTGCTGTCTATGAGCCTTTGAGAAGGGAGAGAGCTGCTGTTCTTGTGCACAGCACTGGATCAAGATCGGGCGCAAGTAAATATGGTGGGGGCTCATCCTTCATACTGAGAGCCCACCATAGCAAGCATCTTGCTATGGTGGCACTTGTGTCAGCTTGCTCCCAAGCCACGCTCTGTGCGTCCACTGACACACAGAGCACAGCTTGGTCCTGCCCTCTGCTCCCTCCTCACTGGCTGTGATTGACAGCAGCAAGAGCCAATGGCTCCTGCTGCTGTCTATGAGCCTTTGAGGAGGGAGAGAGCTGCTGCTCTTGTGCACAGCACTGGATCAAGAGTGTGGTGGGGAGGGGGCTGCTGCATACTGAAGGTTTTTTCTTTTTTACTTTAAATGCACAAAAGGCAAAAAAAAACCCAAAACAAACATTCAGCCACTTTAAAACCACTATATAGAAATTTGGAAAACATGGCCTGGTAGTGTTATTTAGGAATTATTCATGACCCATCACTGCTCTGCCCAATCGTGTTCCATCGCCCACGTGTGATCAATGCACAGTGCACCCTGTCAGTGGCATCTAATGCCCAGGGTGAGGCTGTGAGCTCAAATGTAGATAGCAAACTGTGTCCCTCTGCCCCCTGGCACATGCCCAATCATCGTATTTGGCTGGGATTCCACTCCCTTTGCTTTTCCCAGCATCAATGGTGCAGCTCCAGGTCTGCCCATTGAGTTTACATGATTGCCAATTGTGAATTGCCCAGACCACACAACAATGCACTCGGGGAGGGGCAGCAGCCCTTACCCACCCCCGTTCACATCCTTATACCAACTTCAAAATGTTTTTGTTTATTTCACAACCTCCCTCCTCCTCATATCCCACAAACGTTTCCCAGCACAAGAATCCTGAACCCAGCCACCTACTATAACAGATCCCATTTCCAGAAGTCCCGTCATGCAGTACCTGTGCTGGAAGTAGATGGCGCTACAAACCCGCATTGTCTTTAGGGAAGTGGTGACTAACGGCCTCCTCCGCGTTGCGATTCAAACACAGTCAGAGCGGTTTACAACAGTCCATGAGATTTTCATCAGCAGTCCATCAATAACTTATATAATACATTTAGCATCAGCAGAAGACCTACAACATGTTAAAAAGCAAAAACGTCCCCGTTAAAATAATGTTTCCCCCCCATACTTCATTCGTTGTAAAAGGTTGAAAAATCCAACCAAATATTTGCATGCCCCACTCTGACGCAAGGAGCGACTCCCACATCAGATGATGGCGCATGAATTGCTGAAGCGTTGGTGTCAGTCCTGGTGCGCTGATAGGAGTGGAAATATATAAAAGCACCACATTGAAGGGCCATTCAGGTGCTGTAGTGTTGGCCTTCAGGTTTTAGAAAAAGAAAAAAAAAATACTAAAGTTTTAATTAATAAAAAAAAAAAAGTTTTGGGTCGCTCTGTGCTTCGTAGCCAAGTCTCACCTCTCTTGCTGAAGAGTTCAGGTCAGCGTGAAGCTCTTCAAATTCACCAGCTGGTAATAAATTGATACTAAATATATATATGCAAGTCTTTAATGGGGGGCTCCCCAGAAGTCAGGGGGGCCCGGGTACAGTGGCTGGTACAAGATGGAGGGGAGACGGGTGACTATAGGATGTCCGCTCGTTTGTCCCTGACACGGCTCATGGCTTTAGTTCTCGCCTTGAAGGCAGCGGAGTTGAACAAATGCTGAGGGTGGGGAAAAAAAAAAAGAAAATGTAATAGCAAATAAACCAAACCAATCACAGATCATGTATACAAAAATGTTATAACCTACAGTTCATATACAAGGGAAAAACAAAAAAAAGTGTTTAGGCCAATCCGCTAGCAGACCTACGGGGCCTGGGCCAATCGCGCGGCAGCCCTACGGGCGCCCCGGCCAACCGCGCGGCAGCCCTACGGGCGCCCGGGCCAATCGCAGAGCAGCCCTACGGCGCAGCCCCGGCCAATCGCAGAGCAGCCCTACGGCGCCCGGGCCAATCAGAGCACCCAGAGCAGCCCTACGGCGCCCGGGCCAATCGCAGAGCAGCCCTACGGCGCCCGGGCCAATCGCAGCAGCAGCCCTACGGCGCCCCGGGCCAATCGCCAATCACAGAGCAGCCCTACGGCGGCGCCGGGCCAATCGCAGAGCAGCCCTACGGCGCCCGGGCCAATCGCACAGAGCAGCCCTACGGCGCCCGGGCCAATCACAGAGCAGCCCTACGGCGCTCGGGCCAATCACAGAGCAGCCCTACGGCGCTCGGGCCAATCACAGAGCAGCCCTACGGCGCTCGGGCCAATCACAGAGCAGCCCTACGGCGCTCGGGCCAATCACAGAGCAGCCTATAGAGCTCAGGCTTTTTTTTTTCATACCTTTTCTACCGGGAGATTTTACTTGCTTTGATGGCTGCAGCGTCCAGGATGAGCGGGGCCCCCAGAGAGAAGATGTCTCGCAGAACTTCATTGTGCTGGTGAGAGAAGTTTTTATAGGGATCAGGAACGGATTTGTGTGCGGTTTTCTGCCTTTTTAGGTTGTTGGGGGGCAATGTTACCTGTAAGTGATAGCGAATTTCCGGATCCCAGGGCTTCCTTAAAGGCGCTGTACGTCCTCCGACGCACCCAGCTGTCCACATACATGACTTCCAAACCAAACTTTATCGTCTCATCTTGGTATTCCGCATTCTGCACACAACACAAATCCATCACAAATCTCAGGAGAACATAGAAGAGGAACCCACACCAACCAAATCACAACGCTTTCCTTCCTCTGGTGGTTCAAAACTCGCATATGTTGGAATCTGATTGGCTGCTACCGAACACATCACATGTCTATTAAAAAGACAGACAGTCTCTTTTTAATCCCCTTAAATAGTTTTGAGAATTAAAGCTGAACTCCCGCCAGGAGGAAGAACATTTCTTTCTTTGTTGGTTTTGACTTTTTTTTTTTTTCTGTGCACTCTCCCCCACCCTCAATCAGGTTCTTCATGCCCCCATTTCTCCCGACTTCCTGTTTGGGTGACGTTTTCATCATCTAAAAAAATGGCTCAGGGTCCTCCTATCTGCACTTTTCCGAAGGGGAGCGGCAATGCCAAGGAATGCCCACCAACCCCTTCCCCCACAGCCAGTAAATGGCCCTAAGCAATGCCTGCCACCCTGCCCACAACCAGCGAGCAGCCCGGAATAATGCCTGCTACCACCCCGCCCCCAGCCAGTGAGTAGCCCGGAATAATGCCTGCCACCCCGCCCCCAGCCAGCGAGTAGCCCGGAATAATGCCCTGCCAGCCCCCAGCAGCGTAGCGAGCAGACCGGAATAATGCCCGCCCCAGCCCCCAGCCAAGCAGCCCAGAATAATGCCTGCCACCCTGCCCCCAGCCAGCGAGCAGCCCGGAATAATGCCTGCCACCCTGCCCCCAGCCAGCGAGCAGCCCAGAATAATGCCTGCCACCCCGCCCACAGCCAGCGAACAGCCATAAGCAACATCCAGCAACATCCCCACAGTCAGTAAATGGCCCTAAGCAATGCTTGCCAATCAGCCCACAGCTAGCAAGCAGCCCTAAGAAAGCCTGCCACCCCGCCCACAGCCAGTGAGCAGCCCTAAGCAACGCCCTCTGCCCCCGCCCACAGCCAGTGGGCAGCCCCAAGAAAGCCTGCCACCCCGCCCACAGCCAGAGAGTAGCCCCAAGAAAGCCTGCCACCGCCGCCCACAGTCAGTGAGTTGCCCCCAAGAAAGCCTGCCACCCCGCCCACAGCCAGTGAGTTGCCCCAAGAAAGCCTGCCACCCCGCCCACAGCCAGTGAGTGCCCCAAGAAAGCCTGCCACCCCCCGCCCACAGCCAGTGAGTAGCCCCAAGAAAGCCTGCCACCCCGCCCTACAGCCAGTGAGTTGCCCCAAGAAAGCCTGCCACCCCCCGCCCACAGCCAGTGAGCAGCCCTAAGCAACCCAAAAAATGGCCTGGTCAGGAAGGGGAGGGAATCCTCTGGAGGGCGAGGGGGGGAGGGGAATCCTCTGGAGGGGGGGATCCTCTGGAGGGCGAGGGTTTAAAGCCTTTAGAATCACTTCAAGACCTCAGCCGTCATTGTATCACAGCTATCCGTTAGTCACTCCTCACCTCAATGTAGTGCAGGACGTCTCGGAAGATGGAGCGCTGTTTGCGGCGGTCGGTTTTGGCGCGGTATTTGTTGCTGTCGGTGGCTAATGCTTTTAGCGTCACACACAGAGCGTCCACATCATCGTACTCAAAGTCCTCCTGCAGATGGACGTGAAAGATGAAGGAGAACAGGCCGCAAAGCAAGGGGGAGGAGGGGGGGGGGGGGGGCACAATTGGCGACCAACAACGAACTGCATTTTTACCTCCAAATCGCGGCCCAGCTCGTACAGGAGGGCGAGGCTTTCTCCGCCGGCGATGCGCAGGCTGACGTTCTCGCTGGACAGGACTCCGCAGAAGTATGGGAGGTGGCTAGGAGACGGAACGTATAGACATTAGTCGACATTTGCAGCAACCAGCAGCTGCTCCAGTTATATCAACAGGAAGTACTGAAGCCGATGGAGCGTTTGGCAATGGCGGCCTCCGTAGGTTTTAAAGCAGACCAAGGATTACGTTGTACCCGGAGTTCAGCCAAATCTCTGTGAAGTCTAAGGCTCGGTTCACATCAGTGCGGGTGGTGGTGCTGTCCTGTCAAAATGAGCAGCGCAATCTGTCCACAGGATACAGCCGATGACATATCACTACACCGGCCCATTGCCAGTGTCATGTGACCGCTGTGACCAATCACAGCACATCACATGTCGATTGTATACAATGGATGGCTTCCTGTCATGCCATCCATTGTATACAATGTGGTTAGCTGTGACTGGTCAAGGCAGTCACATGATAAAGACCGGGCCAATCACATCCCATCTGTATCATATGATCACCTTTGCACAATCACAGCTAATCACAACAAAAGACTGAATCTGTTTAATTCAGTAACAATGATTGCAAATATCAATAAAATACATTAGCAATCATAAAAAAAAAATACTGATCACTTGCCCAGAGTAGATCAATGTTACTATGGTAACATTGTAATGCTTTGGTCACAGTGTGCTGACAAATAAAATAGGTAAAAAAAAAAAAGAAAAAATGTAATAAAAAAAAAAAAAATAGAAACATTTGAAAAAAAAAAAAATACAAATTCAATTATTATTATTGTTTTCACCAAAGAAATGTAGCAGAGTACATTTTGACCTAAATTTATGAAGAAATGTTATTTGTGAAATTTTATAACAGAAACGAAAAGTGCGCTGAGAGCTAAAAAATGGCCTGGACTGGAAGGGGGTGAAAGTGTCCAGACTTAAAGGGGTTAACCTTCATGCATATAATGCATGAAGCTAAAAAAAAAAAAAGAAAGAATTTTAACTGAGAAAGCCCCTCCTCCCCTCCTGAAGACTCCAGGGATGTAGGACAATGGCCTAGGCCAGAAAGCAGGAACTAAAGAAATGCAAAAAATAAATTGGTTTCAAAACAAGTAAATGATACACTTTCCTATGGATTTATGAAGGGCTAGCAGCACAGGGATTAAATATAGCTCAAGCTGACTGAGAAAGCAAAGTTCTGCTTTTGGCAACTGGAGCCTCCGGGGTGCTGTGTGCAGCAGACGATTCTTGTCTATGGGAATGCAGCGGCTGCACAAACACAGCTGCTTGTACTAATCTGACAGCGTGGGTGCAGGTGGGCTCCCCTCTCAGCCCGCCTGCTCCCCTCTCAGCCCGCCTGCTCCCCTCTCAGCCCGGCTGCTCCCCTCTCAGCCCGCCTGCTCCCCTCTCAGGGCGTGGGCGGGCTCCCCTCACAGGGGCGGGCGGGCTCCCTCCCAGGGTGCAGTGCTCGGGAACAGACGGCCACTGACTCTGTACCCTGACAAGGGAGGAAGATACGGTTTAAAGGGGCAAAGTGGCAGAATTCAGGAAGCGGTCAGCCCGGTCGGGTTTTTGCTGGCAGTGTCTTGCATTTTCTGTGATTGGCTCAGACTCGCAGTACATGCAGGACGCTCTCCCAAACACACTTACCTTTCCAGCGCCTTCTGTATCCGGCTGGCGGGGCAGATGGTCAGTAGCAGCGCCCAGGACTGAATGGCACAACACACCAGGCCCTGCAGATTCGCCGCACTGCTGTTATTCTCAGAATACAACAAGGTGAAGATGCCCTCCAGACAGATGAGACTGGAAGCCAAGTCCTGTGGGAGAGATGGAGAGGAGTCACACCGCCCTCATACACCAGCCTCTATAGGAGGCTGCGGGCTTCACAAAGGGAAGAAAAATATATTTTAAAAATACTCTTCCCAAATATATTGCCATATACTTGAAATGCTACAATTTTGGCCGTATTCAATATATTTCAATAAATATGAATAATAAAATTACACACACACACACATGCATACATACATATATTTCAATAAATACAAATTTAAAAAAATACATTTCATATATACTTTATGTCTTTAAAAATACAAATCTACATTTTTGGAATGCATTTACAAATATATGTTAAAATTACTTTATAAGTTAAAAAATAAATCTGAAGAATATATTTAAAAATATATATATTTTTTAAATATATTCTTCAGATTTTTTAACATATAAAAAAGTCATTTTTAACATATATTTTTGCATATATTTGTAAATGCATTCCAAAAAAAATTAAAAATATATTTTAAAATGACTTTAATATGTTAAAGAAAATCTGAAGAATGTATTTAAAAAAAATATATATTTTTAAAATATATTCTTCAGATTTATTTTTTAACATATTAAAAAGTAATTAACATTTTTAAAAATATTTTTCATATATTTTGTAATAAAAAAGCATTTCAACATGCAGCGTGCACACACACGCACTATATTGAATATGGCTAAAATTGTAGCATTTCAAATATATTTTCTTCCATATGGGTTAGAACAGTCACATGTGTACGAATAGAACGCCTTACCTCATCATCTGTAGCAGCGATGTAACAGCAAATCCCCAGTGCGGTAGCACACTGCAAGAAAACAGTCAAATATTACAACGGAGAACAACCTTTTACAGGAAATATCGGACAAGAAAACATTTCATCTACAAATAATTTAGAGCCGTCTTTCCCAACCAGAGATCTGAGTAAACCTTCATATCCTAGAACTTAATTGGGGCTCCCTGAGCAATCAGCAACTTTTGCCTTTCAAAAAAACTACTACCGACCCCTAATGAGCTCTTCAGCCATTGGTAAGGGTCATTCTTCCCCCGCCCGACCGACCGCCACTGCAAGGGGCTTCTTCCCCCGCCTTCCCCCCCCCGCCGACCGCCACTGCAAGGGGCTTTCTTCCCCCCCCGCCGACCGCCACTGCAAGGGGCTTTCTTCCCCCCCCGCCGACCGCCACTGCAAAGGGGCTTTCTTCCCCCCCCGCCGACCGCCACTGCAAGGGGCTTTCTTACCCACCCCCCCGCCGACCGCCACACTGCCTTTCCCCCGCCGACCGCCACTGCAAGGGGCTTTCTTCCCCCGCCGCCGACCGCCACTGCAAGGGGCTTTCTTCCCCCGCCGACCGCCACTGCAAGGGGCTTTCTTCCCCCCGCCGACCGCCACTGCAAGGGGCTTTCTTCCCCCCCGACCCTGCATCACGGGGCTTTCTTCCCCCGCCGACCGCCACTGCAAGGGGCTTTCTTCCCCCGCCGACCGCCACTGCAAGGGGCTTTCACTGCAAGGGGCTTTCTTCCCCCGCCGACCGCCACTGCAAGGGGCAATGTAAGGCAAATTCTTTGCACTGATCAACAATATAAAGGGGCATTTCTCTGACCCCCAATGTAACGGATCGCATTTACAACAGAACACTACAATGTACTTTGTCTGCGTTTCTTTTTCTACAATATTTATTCGTTCATTAACCCCTTTGTGCCGGCGCCTCCCGGCCCTTCAAGAGTTTTGGGAGGGGGGGGGTTTTAGGGTCATGTGACCACCGTGATTCGCTGTCACGTGATCGGAAAAGGCCCCGATCGCAAGGGGAGATGGGGACCTTTCCGTGAGTCACGCAGGGGCGCGCGCTCTCAGCACATATGTATTCTCTAATTGCACGCAAATATGCGGGCCGCTCGGCATCTAGGGGGTTAAAGTGGGACTTCAGTCTGCTCTGTATGAGGGTCACTCTTCAGAGGGCAAAACGGGTGTAAATGAGGGAGAAGGTGCGCTTTAAAAAAAAAAAAAAACACAAATGTTCCTGCAGATCATGGGGGGGGGGGGGGGGGCAGATACACAAAACAGCTTCTTCCTCCTATCTCAGCTGGTGGCTCTCAGTAATGGACAGCCGGCATGCAGGTAGTATTCAGTATTGGGGTCCCCGGGGGCCAGGAAGTCCTTTCCGGGGGCCCCTCCGTGGTCATTGCGGAGGAAAGCTCATCTAGAGACATGAAGGAAACATCCGAAACGCCAGAATCTACCGGCTAAAAAAAGAAAAAGTACAGACAGCTGCAGGACGGGCTGCAGGACATTTCATTGGCTGGGAGTCCTTTCCTCTGTTGTACGGCCGACTTAGAATTCCTGAATGAATGTCCTGCCAGGACTCGGCCAGAGATCGGATTCTGCCGCAGTTTACGTGACGCGGCGAAGAAATGTTACCGCCACTCAATGAGGATATCGGGTCCCCAGATAGGAGACAACATTTACCGCCATATCCAGAACTGGGGGATGGGAGGAGGCAGACTATCTGGTGATGGAGTCTGAGGTGGTGGAAATATTCAGGCTGGATTCACAATTCAGCATTTTGTGCGTGTTTTTGAGCGCAACTTTTGTACGTTTTCATACAGCATTTTCCGGGCTGTTTTTTTTTTTTTTTTTTTTAATTTGCCAATAGAGAAAAATATCACCTCCTGCAATGCTTCTCAGCTTTTTTGCCATTTCCATCAGATTTTATTTTTTTTTATTTATTGTAATTTTTTTTGTTAGGGTAAGGTAGCGTAAATATGTCAGAAATAAATGATTAAACCCCTAACCTTAACCTCCCGAACCCTTACAAATGTTTTTAAATAAATATTAATGGTAATAAGAAATATAAAAAATAATAATAAACACCATAACCTGAACACAAAAATATAAATGATTAAAAAATGTATTTTTAATATTTTATTAATATTAATAATGTATTTAATATCATTTTATTTTAGGGTTAGGGGGTTACATTTAGGGGCTAATTACTATTTATTACAGATTATTAATTTATTTTAATTTTGTTTGGGTTGTTACCACTACTACTTGAATAAATAAATGTAAAATAAATACACAAATAAAAATAATCATAAATACAATAAATGATTAAAATCCTAACCTTAACCTCCAAACCCTTAGACATTTTTTAAAATAAATTATTAATAATGGTAATAATAATAAATATAAAATAATAATAAACACCATAACCTTAACACAAAGTAAATAATATAAATAACCATTTAAAAAATATACTATTTTATTATTATTATTTTGAATAATAATGTATTTAATATAATTTATTTTAGGGTTAGGGGGATAACTTTAGGGATTAATTACTATTTATATATTATTAAATTTATGATTTAAATTGATTTATATTTATTTATGCATAGATTATTATACAATTTTTTTTTAAATTTGAGCAGAAAATGGTGAACCAAGCCCCTCCCATCCCGCACTTACGCTTTGTCGGGCGGACGCTCCGGAGCTGGAGTCGGTCAGGATGCTGATCATTAGGCTCTTGACGCTGTGGAAGACTTCCTCGCCCTCGGATCCGGATCCCAGCTGGATGCAGAGGAGAGACACCAATGTGGCGGCCAGAGATTGCTCCCCCTCTTTACCTGCAGAAAGAAACGGGCAGACACGTGGTCACGAGGCGAGTGCGGCGGCCGTAGCGGTCAGCTGATCCCTGCGCCCGCCGAACGTACTACTTACCTTTCTTCAGACAACGTTCCAGAGCTTCCGTGAGCGTCACTCTCCTCTCCAGCAAGAAATCTCCGAGGACCTGGGAGGACAGGGCGACACGCAGGTTCCCCAGCGCTGTAAGCCTCGTCTTTACACTGCGAGAGAAAAGGAAAGAGTCTACGGGGGCTCTCTGGGGTCACCCCACCGCCCTAGGGTAACCACCCCCCCCTCCCCCCCCACCTATCCCCACCCACCCCCTCCACACCATCCTGCCGCTTCATCACCTCCTGTCCAGCAGATTGTCGATATCTTCTTTCAGCTTATCTTCCCGCTGCTCCTGGTAGGACTGCAGGTCCGGTGCGTCGCCGCCTGATGGGGACGCAAACACAAGATGGCCGACGTCATTCTAAGTGGATTGACAACTGGGGTCCTAAGCCTGGAGGTCACATGAGCAACCTGACATTCTGTGATTGGTTATTATTAGAGTATTGGGGGGGCGGCCTGGGGACTCGAGGGGGGGCACCTGTGGATTCCAAACTGTTCACAAATTTCAGTGCAAATGTAATAAGCAAGGCCAGATTCTGTGCCACTCACTCTTGCAACCTGCTTGCCCTCGTATCACAAATGGGGCAGACGGCAGACCTTGGGACTCGGGGAGTGGGGGGTTATGAGACCTGGGGACTCTAGGGGGGACCTGGGGACCCAGAAACTGTTCACACATTTCAGTTCATATGTAATAAGGAAGGCTGGATTCTGTGGCGCTCACACCCCTGCACCCTGCGCCTCCCCTCATATCACAAATGAGGCAGACAGCAGACCTTGGGACTCAGGGAGTGGGGAACCTGGGGACTCTAGGGGGGACCTGGGGACCCAGAAACTTCACACATTTCAGTGCATATGTAATAAGGAAGGCTGGATTCTGTGGCGCTCCCCCCCCCGCACCCTGCGCCTCCCCTCATATCACAGTGGGGCAGACGGCAGACCTTTGGACTTGGGGAGCGGGGGGTTACGAGACCTGTGGTCTCAGTAGGGGGGAGGGGTACCTGGGGACTCTAGGGGGGACCTGGGGACCCAGAAACTGTTCACACATTTCATTGCATATGTAATAAGCAAAGCCAGATTCTGTGCCACTCACCCCTGCACCCTGCTTGCCCCAGACCTTAGGACTCAGGGGTTATGAGACCTGGGGACTCTAGGGGGGACCCAGAAACTGTTCATACATTTCAGTGCATATGTAATAAGGATACTGTGGCGCTCACCCCTGCACCTTGCGCCTCCCCTCATATCACAAATGGGGCAGACGGCAGACCTTGGGACTCAAGGAGTGGGGGGGTTAGAAGACCTGGGGACTTGGGGGTAGGGGGACCTTGGGACTCTAGGAGGGACCTGGGGAACCAGAAACTGTTCACATATTTCAGTGCATATGTAATAAGGATTCTGTGGCGCTCACCCTGAACGACCTCATATCACAAATGGGGCAGACAGCAGACCTTGAGACTCGGGGAGTGGGGGGTTAGGAGACCTAGGGACTCAGTGGGGGGTTATGAGATCTGGGGACTCTAGGGGGGACCAGGGGACCCTGAAACTGTTCACACATTTCAGTGCATATGTAATAAGGATTCTGTGGCGCTCCCCCCTGCACCCTGTTTGCCCTCATATCACAAATGGGGCAGACAGCAGACCTTGGGACTCAGGGAGTGGGGGACCTGGGGACTCTAGAGGGGACCCAAAAATTAAGGAAGGCTGGATTCTGTGGCGCCCCCCCCTTCCCCTGCACTTCTTCTCATTATCAGAAACACGTGTGCTCTGGTAATCAGCCGGTGTGCAGAGGTGATGTCACCCGAGGACGGACGAAGGTTAATTGCTTTTAAGTCAACACAGAATTCAACAAAAACACAAAAATTTATGGCGTGTTCACCCATCTCTGGTGTCATATACACTCACCTGACCCCTCCTCTGCCACGCTAACAGTCTCACTCGCACTGCTGCAGTGACTGAGGACATCACTGGCTGCTTCGTCATCACTGGCTTCGGAGTCCGCTCGTGTCCCTGGCCGGGACCCTGAAATACAAGAGACATATGAGCTCTGTCACTGGGCACTACACAGATCATAGGGAGTGCAGTATGGGGGGGGTAGTGCGTACACTGCAGAACAAAATCCAAAATCAGCCAGACACACATGCACAGACATCCCTAGTCCGGAATCTGTTGGTCTGTGGCCTGTATAGCCACATATGAGGTCTACAGACGTGGAGGATGCAGCTATTCAGGTGCGATCTGTACTTGAATAGCTGCCGGTAGGGCGGGGAAGACACAGAGTCTTAGCCCGGGTTCACACTGATGCAGCCAATTCCGCACCGCATCAGAATCGCCCCCCCGTTCATGCAAACCGCTGTGGGTGTGAGTGTTACACATTGTACGCCTCCGATCGCACCACACACAAATCGCATTGCACAAGAATGCGGCGCGGTTCCTGCGCAAATCACATGCGATATACGGCGCCGCACATAGGTGAACCCGGGGTAATAGACTTCCATTGTCACTATAAAGAGTACCTGTCACCTGCCCATGTTATCATATACCCTTTGTGACAGCAATAAAGTAACAAAAATGAAAAAAAAAAAAATATTATATGAAATAAATAAAAATAAACTTTTTTGGAACCCCCACATCACCCCCCCCCCCATATACAGAGCACAGCACATGTATATAAACATCAACTGCACCACACATTGGAACGTTGCAGGGAGAGCAAAGATTCACAATTGATTCTACACGGATCACCTGTAAAGGCTTTTAAAGCGTCACCTATGGAGAAAATTGTTTTTTTTTTTTAGATCTCACATGAAATTGTAATGCTCAATATGTTTGGGATCTATTTACTTGACGTAACGTTTATATTTATGTTATACCAAAATATTTATATATTTATACCCCCCCCCCCCCAAAAAAAAAGAGACATAATATTGTATTTCAGGCACTAAAATTCATTTTGGTGTATTTTTCCCTGAAAAAAAAATGTGTTTGCTAAATGGCTGTGCAAACCCTCCCTCTTAGATTGTAAGCTCCTAGGATCAGGGCCCTCCTAACCCTCTTGTACTGAACTGTATTGTTTCTGTATCGTCTGTTTATTTTATAAAGCTCTGAGCAAACTGTTGGCGCCATATAAATCCTGTATTATAATAATTTAATTATATTATATATTTATAATAAAATAAATCATGTACAATAATAATAATAATAATAATATAAATCCTGTATTATAATAATAATATAAATCATGTACAATAATAATAATAATAATATAAATCCTGTATTATAATAATAATAATATAAATCCTGTATTATAATAATAATAATATAAATCCTGTATTATAATAATAATAATATAAATCCTGTATAATACTATAAATCCTGTATAATAATAATATAAATCCTGTATAATATAAATCCTGTATGATATAAATCCTGTATGATATAAATCCTGTATGATATAAATCCTGTATAATATAAATCCTGTATAATATAAATCCTGTATTATATAAAATATAAATAAATCCTGTATGATATAAATCCTGTATATAAAATATATAAATACTGTATATATAAATGTATAATATAAATCTGTAATATAAATTGTATAATAATATAAATCCTGTATAATAATATAAATCCTGTATAGTAATATAAATCTTGTATAATAATAATATAATTCTTGTATAATATAAATCCTGTATAGTAATAATAATATATAAATCCTGTATAGTAATAATAATAAATAATATTGTGCCGCATAAAAAAGTGCAACTACCACCATGTTATTCTCCAAAGCCTCTGCTTTTAGAAAATAAAGTACTGCATAAACTGTTGGCGCTATAAAAATCCTGTATAATAATAATAATATATATTTTTTTGGGGGGGAGGGGAGGAGTAATTTCTATCAAAAAATGATGTGTGTGCAAAAAATGTAAAACCTGCCCTGGTAGATAAGGAGATAAAAAGGTGAAAAGCCCCCACCTGAGTTACTGAGAATAATAATTAGGGACAAAAGTAGTGTTTGTCTCCCAGCACAGGAACAATGAATGGCCCATCTGGCCAACCAATTAACACAACACTACAATGCTGATGCCACAGATTGCAGGGAATTAGCATAGGAGGAGCCCGACAACCACATTCCAACAGTCTAGAGGAATCTCCTTTTGGACCCCATTCACAGCTTGCAAATAGACAAGGATTGCATGAGAAAACCCCAGGGGGGGGGGGGGGGGTTCCAGCAATTAGCTGTGAGAGGCACTCCCTCTGAAAACAATGGGGGGTCCTGCATCTTATCACACCCACTCACATGTAAATGCCTACGGAGGGATTACCTGCCAGTGATAGGCAATAGAGGCACATGGGGGGGATTGGCAGGGACCCTATTTGCAAGTGTGAATGGGACCTTCATGTGGAAATGCTGGTCTAGCTGTTACCAAACTGATCTTGTGTACCTACACACACACTATATATATATATATATATACACACACACACACAGAAATGCGTATTTGCTCCCCTACTGATTTTGAATGTTCGTCCCTCACACAGAAATGATCGGTCTAACAATGGAATGTTCGGTGTAACACTGAGAGACAGAATACAACAACAAATTCAGCAGAAATGCGTCTAACAAATGAAGACGGATCTGCATGTTCATGAGGGAAAGAAGGATTTGATCCAATAAATCCTTTTTGTGATACACATATAAACCCCCCAAAAAGAACTCCAACTATTAATATAATCAATATAACTTCAACTAAAATTGTGTTTGAATAAATCCACACCCAATTCCGTCTTAAAAAAACCCCCAAAAAAACAAAATTTAAAAATAAAAAAAAAATATATATAAAAAATATTTAAGGAAATTGTATACAATAGACCCAAAGGGGTTTATTTACTAAAGCTGGAGAGTCCAAAATCAGACTCCCTTCTGCAAAGAAACCAATCAGCTTCCAGGTTTCATTGCCAAAGCTTCATTGAACAAGCTGAGGTTAGAAGCTGATTGGTTTCTATGCAGAAGGGAGTCTGATTTTGGACTCTCCAGCTTTAGTAAATAAACCCCAAAGTGTCCAAGTTCCAAATTTTTCACTTCAATCCAGTAAAGCAGAAATTGGTTCTAAAACTCCATGATAACCTCAAAGAAAGAAAAAAGAAAATTCATAGTGTATTACCTTAAAAAAAAAAAAAAAAAATTATATATATATATATATATATATATATATACTTCACTCTGTGCACAACACAAAAACACACCAAAATTTGTGCAAAATAAATTAGATATATAACAATCCAAATAAATAAATGAATAAATAAATAAATAAAACCCAAATCGTGAAAAGCGTGATCACTCCAATCACAAGTGAATAGTGATACTAGGTACTAGTACCCTCTAAACTGCAGCCAAAAGTGATACCAGGTACTATTACCCTCTTCCAGTATTTTCAAGCATGAGCTGACATAGGAAATCCGTATCTCTCAATCCTCCATTTCCAGGGGTATTCCTCCCAACTCCTCATAGAAGCATAAAAGGCTCTTAGGCAGGATCCATAAAAAGGGACAAATTTTAATAGTAACTTACATATAAAACAGGGAAATCCAGCTTCCAGTATTACTCTCTCAAATTTCAGGTTGGAAACCACATGTTTCCAACCAACAAAATGGCCGCGGCGACACTTCCGTCATCACGCATGCACGCTAACCGGAAGTGTCGCCGCGGCCATTTTGTTGGTTGGAAACATGTGGTTTCCAACCTGAAATTTGAGAGAGTAATACTGGAAGCTGGATTTCCCTGTTTTATATGTAAGTTACTATTAAAATTGTCCCTTTTTATGGATCCTGCGTTTTGTGTTGAGGGTGATGATATAGGAGCTTACTGATTGAAGGATTTGATCCCCTTCACAAAACATGACTTAGTACTTGGTGGCAAATCCCTTGTTGGCAATCACAGAGGTTAGACGTTTCCTGGAGTTGGCCCCCAGGTTCGTACACATCTCAGGAGGGATTTGGCCCACTCCTCTTGGCAGATCCTCTCCAAGTCATTAAGGTTTGGTGGCTGACGTTTGGCAACTCGAACTTTCAGCTCCCTCCACAGATTTTCATTCGGATTAAGGTCTGGAGACTGGCTAGGCCACTCCAGGACCTTAATGTGCTTCTTCTTGAGCCGCTCCTTTGTTGCCTTGGCCGTGTGTTTTGGGTCATTGTCATGCTGGAACACCCATCCACCACCCATTTTCAATGTCCTGGCTGAGGGAAGAAGGTTCTCACCCATGATTTGACGGTACATTGCCCCGTCCATGTCCCTTTGATGCGGTGCAGTTGTCCTGTCTCCTTAGCAGAAAAACAACCCCAAAGCAGAATGTTTCCACCACCATGTTTCACAGTTGGGATGGTGTTCTTGGGATCATAGGCAGCATTCCTCCTCCTCCAAACATGGCGAGTTGAGTTGATGCCAAAGAGCTGGATTTTGGTCTCATCTGACCACAACACTTCCCACCAGTCCTCCTCGGCATCATTCAGATGTTCAGTGGCAGACTTGAGACGGGCCTGGACATGTGCTTTCTTGATTAGAGGGACCTTGCGGGCACTGCAGGATTTCAGTCCTTGTCGGCGTAGTGTGTTACCAATTGTTTTCTTGGTGACTGTGGTCCCAACTGCCTGGAGATCATTGACAAGATCCTCACGTGTAGTTCTGGGATGATTCCTCACTGTTCTCATGATCATTGACACTCCACGAGGCGACATCTTGCATGGTGCACCAGACCTAGGGAGACTGACACTTGTTTTGTGTTTCTTCCATTTGTGAATGATTGCACCAACTGTTGTCACCTTCTCACCAAGCTGCTTGGCCATAGTTTGGTAGCCCAGTCCAGCCTTGTGTAGGTCTACAATCTTGTCCCTGACATCCTTGGACAGCTCTTTGGTCTTTGCCATGCTGGAGAGTTTGGAATCTGATGGTTTGATTGCTCCTGTGGACAGGTGTCTTTTATACATGTAACATAACGAGATTAGCAGCACTCCCTTTAAGA